GAGAAATAAGACTCTATTAAATACATATATAATAAAAATTACAGTTTAAATATATTTGTGAACTTTGTTATGTTTCAAGGAAACATTGAATAAAGAATTAATTTAGAATTTTAATTATGTATAGATCTTATTTAACTTTGAGTTATAAATTATGGATAAACAAATCGTCAACACATATATGAACTGGTAGAAAGTTTTTCTTATAGTTTCTTATAATGTCTTTGAAGATTTAGTTTTATTGCTGATTTTATACTGACGATGCAAGCTCAATTTGGACGAGGAATTACATCATTTGAAAGTGCAATTAGCAAAGAAGTATATTTTAAAAAATAGTACACTACAAACTAAGAAAATATATACTTGAAAGATCTTATTTCTTTTAACTTTTGTTACTAGAGATATAAAACCTTTTTGAAACTTGATTGTATAACATTTGGAAGTAATTTATTAAATTTGTTGGTATCATTTAATGCAATTAATTTTTTATCCCTTAAGAAATATATGTTTAACTTCTAGTATAAAATAAACAAGTATAAGTAACTTTATTTATTTCAGCTTATTTCAAGAAATCGAGGTAATTTGAATGTCTTAAGTCCTATTAAATGTAAAATGTACTTTAATATATAAAATTATATTTATATAAGTATATCGGATGTATTACAAATTCGTTGTTTTAAAAGAGACTGACGCCAGCCTCACTGACGTCTCTAATGTCACTTCTTCTAGAACGTTCCTTGATATTTTAAAATGAAATTACAATTGTTCTTAATGCTCCTATATTTTTTGAAGGTTCTTCATAATCACATACTTCAATGATACGCACTCACTGAACTCTGAATTCTGCCGTCGTGCCGTCGTGCCGCCGCCAGACGTCATATTTATAACAAGATTGAAACATAGCTCTTTTCTCCTTTTAAACAACCTTTGATTTCGTTTTACTTTTAACAATAATCATAAATACTAATGAGGTTTAATAAGAATTGATGACGGCCTGAAATTATTTTCATGTCGCATCCGTTATTAAAGCTGGTAGCGCCGATATGTATAATAGTATATGTAATAGTAATGCCATGACACAATTAAAAAAAATATAAAAAAAATATCAATAGATGGCATAATGGTTTCATATTGATTATTGAGTAATGATTTCAAATCCTTATTTATTTTCCATTTCTCATAATATTCGAATCACTCACAAAACACACATTATCTATTAGGTCTTCTTTTTCTATATAAATATAGAGTAACGAACAAATAATTGTTAAATGTAACCTCAACATATCTGAGAGCACTTAAAACTGTAACTATGTTTATTACCGTTGTACGATACTCCGCAGTTTGAGTTAAATTATTAACATAGTTTGAGACCCCTCGACATAACGATGACTTTATTATCATTAAAACAAACAAAGTTACTTTATGTGGGAAATGAAAATATATGAATGCCGAAGTTTCGTATCTAATTTATTCATTATATTTTTAGTTTAGATAAGTGAAAATTTGACCTATTCACCTCAAGCTCCTCAACGCAAACTCAAGTATAAGTTTACACGAATCGAGTTAATGAGTTTATAATTTCTTTTATTGAGTAAATGATACATTGTTCATCTACGATTAATAACAGAATTTCTATCAATAACATCGTAAAAAAACTATAAAATATATTCAGCACTTTTGGAACAATTAACATTTTAAATATTAACTAATGAGTTTAAAGAAATATAATCATTTGATTGATGTTGAAACCACAATTATTTATATATTACACATATTTTGTTCATTCAACAAAACAAATTTTTATCTTTAGTATTATAATTAATTGTTGACTTACATTGTTAATGCTGCATTTATAGATATGAATGTAGCGTAAGACTGTAAAAGGGTACTATAGTTGGTAGGTAAACACTCCGGGCAGTCATCACTCGATAGAGAGCTTTGAACTATATATATGTATATATACATACATATACATACATATGTACATATATGATATTACGTACAAATGAGTTTATATTCGCAATCATTTAATTTAATAGGATTATGTACAATACTTGTTAATATTTTTATACTTCATATTATATTTTCAACATCAAGTTCTATATCATTAGTATCCTTAGCATTTCATTACAAAAATACGATAATTTTTCGTTTTGAAAGAGAAATATTTTATCACAAGTTCCAAGGAGAGTTTTTTAATTATCTCTCATTTCTGCAGCTTAGATATAAGAAAGTGTTGATTTATAACAGCATTTAAGACCCCTTCAAGGCTCCGTTTTTTTTTTTAGATCAACATTTAAGTAAAATTATTTGAATAAATTAAAGAAATATTATTATTTTTGTGAATCGCATATTTTTTTACTTTTACTGTTTTAGTATTCATGAAATTGATATAATTATGGAATGATTAAAGAAACTTTATATGACTCACTATACAGGGTGACTGGTGAATTACTATCAATATTTAAGGAGCATACTCGGTACATGATTCTCATTAGAATTATGTAAAAAAAATAGGCACTTAATTTTTGACAAAATTTCCGTATAAATAAGTAAAGTGTTGACACGTTCCAAGTGTTCCAAGTGTGGACGCGTGCGGCGGCGTGCTGATACAACACTACGCCACCGCACGCGTATGTGTGAGTGTGTGTGTATACCTAATCTGTAGGGTGTTCACACGATGCGTAATTAATTACATAACTTTTGGTTAACTTTACTTAGAAGTTTATTAATATTTATGTTATATTAATTTTTATTTTGTCATATATGATCGTCAAATATCACGTCCTCAAATATCGATAGTAATTCACCAGTCACCCTGTATAAATCTTTTATGTTTAAATTATTTAAATAAGGTTTACAAATTTAAAAATATATAATAAATATTTGTGTCTATTAAAAAACGGTGAATTTTTCTAAAAATAACCAGATTTCGGAACCGTCAGTACACCACAAACTCGAGAGTGGAGACGTAGTATACTCTTCTAATTATACACCATGTAAGATCATCTACAGCGAGTTCTAGGATCTTCTTACAAAGAGCTCATTATGAATAAATTACACGTTCGATTAATATGAAAGGCAACTGCTGGTGTTAAACGGGTTATATAATGACTGCACCGCTCCCAAGCATCAACTTTGATATAATAAGTCGTAATCTACTAATGTCTATGAAGCTATGTTTAACATAATATATTATTTTTCGCTTTTACAAAATTGTAATATAGTTACACAAATCTGTACATAGGAAATATAAGTATCATTTTTATATTTACTAGGGAATATAGAGTTTTGTTAATGCCCTTAAACATCCAAATATATACTATTTATCATACGATGTATGATACAAAAAGGGGTTTAACATTAAATAAAATAAATCTTGTCTTATGAATAATAAAAGAGACTATAAAAGTTAAATTTATATATTAAATAATTAGCACTTTTTATCATGATCTTACGTTAATTCAGGACATTACTTCATAAGTGGAAGTGGCATCAAATATTCCAGTATAACATTTCAAAATTGATAGTTCAAAAAGAATAATAAATGACGGAATATATTATGTAAACAGTGGCTCAAATAAATCCTCTCTAATTGATGAACCTGAAAGGTCCACTTAGTAATACTAAATTTATTTTATATGATTTAAAAATTGTTGAAAATAATTTCTATTTTACAGATATAAATAAATAACCATTAATTTGAATGACCCATAATCTAAGCTTTATTCCTGAAATTGCTTTCAAAAACGCTTCATGAGTTTTGAAGAGTAGATGAAAGTCTGCTTGCGTTAATTATCAAAGAAATCCATACGTCTAATAAAAAAATATAACACCTACAGAAGTGAAAGACGGCACATTATGAGGCTTTGTTGAGAACCGACGTGTAAGTATTAAAACAATGAATCTTTTAGTACAAAAAGAAAAAAATTGTCAAACCAAAACTTAAACCCCGGGTCTACAGGCCTTTAAGTTGAGAAATTTAATAGAAAAGATAATTATGTTTATGCATATCTAGAAATCAAATTACAAGTTTTAAGAATAAACTAATGATATTATTTGAGCATATTTTGGAACAATAAATATTAAAATAATAATCAATAAGATGATAGTTAATTTATTGTAGGAGGAACCTTGTTATACAAATACATATTTTTAATTTAGTTTTCACATCTATAACACTCTTTAATACAAAATAATATTAATTCAAACCTTTTTAATCGGATTATCTTTTATTAACTTGATTGAGGGAAGAAAAGTTAATGATTGTTTTGAGATTTATAAGTCTATCATTTTAATATGGAATCTGAATAAATTTCAAACTTTTTTCACAAAATATTCTTAATATTACGTTATCATGAAAATGAAATTATTTTCAATGCAATGAATTCTTAGTTCTCAGTTTTTATCGTAAATTTCAACTGTCAGGAATATCCGTAGTTTGCATCTTCGCTATTCGTCGAATATCAAACTTTTCTTCTTCTCGTAACGGATTCCTCTTTTATTGCATAATAGTATTCTCAAACAAACTTCCGAACAACCTGTCTGAACTTTCAAAACCTTTTTTGTTTATATTATATAAATAAAACGTTTAGCTTCGGTTTAAACATATTATTCATATTTGTGCGCGTCATAATTGTTTATTTTTTTATTTTTTACTTACAATTAAAAATATATTTATTAAAATGAAATAAATTAAAGTATATATTAAAAAATATATGAAACAACATAATTATAAAACAACATAGGCCACCAAGACTGCTTACAATCCATTTATTAATGACTAATATAAAAATTAAAATTTTCGTTTCCATTTGAATATCATTTCTATCTTGAAGTCTCGTTTTAATTTGTTAAAATATATAAATATCCCTTGGGTTATAAATACATACGTTTAACTTTGTGCCTTAGTGTTCATAGCTTTAAGAGTGAATGTATGAAATACTTCATCATTAAAGATATAAATTGAATACATTAAAGGGAGTTTTATTTGTTAGTGCGGTATGACTGGTATGTTTGTTGCTTGTAAAGGAATTTCTGTATTTTATAAAAGAACCGCTTACTATTTTTCAGCATTATAATAACTTCATTTTACTTCTACCAAATTATTTTGATATTTACTTGATAAAAAATATGAAATGGTGTAGTTACCGTGAAAGTGAATTGTAGTAGAAGTTATTTATTTATTTCTGACATGTAAATATTCAGAACTAATTGCTTTCCGCATTTTTGGTCTTAAAACAACACATTATTACTAGTTCAGACAGGCAGGTGCATAAATATATAGGATTTATTTATCCACTTTAATACGAGTTTGTATTATCGTCTAAAATAGCAATTCTCATGATTACAAATGTATGATACGAATTGGGAATAAACATTGTTAGTGTTGCCATTTAGCTTGACGATGCAAGGTAGTACTATGAATGTTGAAATAAAAATCATAACTAAATAAACTCTTATTTGTATATAAAAATTACTTCAGCATTTTCCTAAAATTAACCAAAAATCAATAGATTTTATAAATAGCTATCGATAGGATATTAAATAAATCATATTCTATTGTAGATGGAGGTGGAGCTCATACAAGTGAAGACAGTTGTGACCCTCAGGAGTTGAGGGTGTGTAGACGGAACACCTCGTACTGCAGTTGGTCTGCCTTGGACCAGGCAGAAATTTGACAAACATTGTCTGTGAGTAGATATTATATAGGAAAGACAGTTAATTGTTACGAACCGTCTTGAAGTGAATCGGTGAAGATAACAAAATTACTTCTTTTATAATAAATGTAAACAGTCAAAGATGTTAAGGTTACAAAGGTATATGAATAATCAAATTCAATTCAAAGCAAACTCTTTAACTTTCAATACAATCCGTATTTCTGATGACGAGTGACATTGAATTGTAAGACAAAAACTCTCTAAAATGTGTATCTTATTGTATAGGATGTATTTTTTTTTAATATTTAATGAGGCATTATTATAATACAAAGTATATTTTTTGTGTATCCAGTGCATATCAGACGGGCTTATCATATATGGACACGTAGATCAAGAAATGTCTACCAACGGATGGACAGAAGATCATTCAACAACAGATGGAGATATTTATGTACCAACGATAGTGCTCTAAGGAGAGGTAAGATCAATATATAGGAAATAAATAAATGGTTTTAAACTGAATCTTTTTACCAGATTAGACTAGAAAACTCAATTAAAAATAACAACGATTTAGGAAAATTTGTTAACGTTTGTAAATATATATAACGGCTGGTTCTTTTGAATCTTAATAAACTTTATACAGGACCTTAGTAGTAGACGTAGCTCTAAATAATGTTTTTAAGAGGAGATCGGATGAAAGCCTTGCTACTGAGATTAAAATAGAACGTCTTCTGATAATGATGCGTTTTACATTTATTTGTTTATAAGACGTTGTATGTATCTTTAGTGCCCGAGACTCGTTCATGTTCGTGTGTTCGCCGTCGGCGAGTGATCTCCTGCGTCGTATGTCGTGGGTGTTAGCTCAGGACGTGGCTGCCTGCAGTCAGCACCCTCGAGCACATTGTTCTGCTCCTCCTCCTCACACACAACGCAGACAACTCTCAGTCATCTCGGTTCTGTCAGGACTTGTGCTCTTTCCGTACGGGTTCTGATATATTGTAGCATATTCTAATAGTATCAGTAAATAGAATGGTGGCCTAGTGGTTAAAAGACCCGCCTCTCATGCACAAGGTCGCGGGTTCGATCCTGGCCCTGGCAAGTACCGATGTGATTTTTTCGAGTATTTTTCTAAGTATTTGGACATCACTGAAAAATGCAGTCCCAAAGGGGGTTCATGACAGCCAGGCGGCCGATCGTAAAAACAATTAGCCAAAACTATTCACAACATATAAGGCAGACCCTGGCTAAAGCTGGGAAATTGCCAGGTAGAAGAAGAAGAAGAACGATTAAACCTTAATTACTTTGTCAGTTTATACATATTGTAAGCGATAAATTTAATTATATATTAGACAGTGATATTTGTGGTATGACTTTTTTTATGCCATCCTGTTCTTATAAAAGTTTACACTCGTGGTCAAAAGACATCTGACATTTATTATTTTTTTCATTCTATTTGGATAAAAGAGACCCGGCACTCCGCACTGTCTGCGATTTATATTAAATTTTGAATTAAACGGAAAGTTCGACTCAACTTAAAACGTATTTTAAATTGATATATCTTTTTCTTCTTAACTTATAATTTCTTTTTTATGTCTTTTAATTTGTTCTTAACAGTTTATGGAATGTTAACAGGAAATTTGTTCAGTCTCATAACTAGACACAGAACTTAAAAGAAGCTTCAAAGGACCCTCAAATATTTTCATAACATCCACATTACTTTTGCAAAATAATAAAACTAACTTAAACATTTCTTATATCCCTCCTAGTATGGAATATCGATAGTCCTGGTGGTATAATTTTCAAATGATCTCCATGGACTTCACTACTACTAACTTACTCTTCGTCTAAGGACTGTTACCACTGATAGTAGAAGAGACTGATACGTACTCAAAAAGTATGTTTCATGTCAAACTTTCTTGTCTAATACCAATAATATGAATTAGCTTTAGCTGTTACCAAAAGAGACGACTATCAAAGAGCTAGCTTGACAACGGTGAAGCAATTCTAACAAACTTAACTTTGTCTACCGTTCTTTTAGTATAACACTACACTCCGATCCAAATGGCTTAATTTATTTTTAAATTATAATAAATAAAATACCACGGTAGCTACTTGAGACTATTTTTAAAACAAAGTAACTAAAATTAAAAGAAAAGTAAAATAGATTCTTTAATAAAATCGTATTAGTAGAATTTTCCATCTAAAAATTGAAAGCTTCTTCATCCATGTCTGTGTTTCCATTCCTCGTATATATTTTCAGCCGTTCCCGCCGCGCTCAGAATACCGAGGCCTTTTTTCTGATATACACAGTATAGTTGTCAAAAACCATTGAAGTAAAAAAAAGTGTAATAAATGATAATGTCGGTGGAATAGGTATTAAACATATTAAATGTATACAATATAAGAAATAAAAAATATATTGAAGTGAAAAAACTTCAAATATTCCAATACTCACAATAGCTCCTAAGTTAACTCCAGGGTGAGCAGAACTGTTTGTAATAAACAACACACACACAGACATCAACAACACACACACTAATGAGAACTTCATATTTAATTATTATAATACAATATACTCGGCACTTGATATCACTCCTAATGATATTTAGTGATCACATCTCACACTATTTAAAGGACGTTAATGTTCTAATACATTGACATTAAAGTAAACGAGAGCATTAGGATCTTCCGAGTTATTAGCAAAAGCCTCATCTAATGGATTCCATTATCAACATGCTCGGGTATAAAATTAATTTTAATATATTTAGCTTTTTAACGTAAGACATTTTTTCATATTACTGAATCTGCTGATCTAAAAAATTCAGGGTTATTGAGAAATATCACAAATGGTTGAACACTTCCCGTCAAATGGAAGTCCTTAATATTCAACTAAGTAAAAAATAAAGTGTGAACAAAACTAAATAAGTTTCTCAGCCAATTATAAATCATAAGGTTAGGATGGCGTCGTGTGTATTCTTCTTCTTCTATACAGAATACAGATAATTCTTTGGAACCAATGAGTCAACAAATCTTAGCGACCTGTATTAATATTTTTTTACATTTTATTTACATTTCTTTTACCCATTGAACATTCATACATTTTAACTGTAACTATACATACTATGTAGGCCATACGACACTTTCCAATTCTTAATACTTGTTATAGTAACGATATTTTGTAATATCAATACAATACAACGTTATAGAATGCATTCTATTGTTACGTGCTTTGAATAGGAACAATTTGAAGTTTTCCATGCAGCTCCAATATAAATATAGGTATATAGAAAACTACATAGCTGCCATCCGCAATCAATGCTTTTAGTCAAAATAAATTACGATCTATACGTCAATTTGATATAAAGACTCCATTACTGCCAAGTGGCTGTACCATACCATCAAACAACCACGAAATAACTGAATCAAAATTGTGCATATACTGTTTATTTTAAAAGGAATTAATAAGGAAAATAATATGCAAAAATGTGTATGGCTATAAGCTGACTTATTTAATTTATCTTATAAAGAAACATACATATTAAACTGTTCGATACTGGAATCTTCTAAATAAATATGTAGAACTGATGAGAAATGAGATAACAATTAAAATATAACACGTTTAAATAAAAACATTATAATTAATATGGTCTTTATATATGAAAATTATTTACATATATACATATTCTATACTAAAAACATCACTTCGTGTATTCTAGGTACTGGTGCATTGAAAATTTACTGAAATTTAAAACATTGAAAAAATGAAATGTGCTTACAAACACATAACCAGCATCAATTATAACTATTGAGTTATATTTTACTTTAAGGCAACATCAATACAGAGCTCATATTTTCAAGGTATAGAAAATATAACAGAAATGTATCAAAAATGTTGCTTTAATCTTCTATCAGCGGCAGGTTCAAAACATTCATTTAAAATTATTCCTTGACTACTTAATGGGATATCACATTATAAGAATCTGAACAAATGACATCATTAAAATATGTAATATATTATATTCACCGAATATTTATATGGGGAAATGATCATTTGGTAAAAAGCCAAAGAAATTCTTGAATAATAATTAATGTGTCTGTTATCAAAATAACGTAATTATAATTTCTGTTTTTTAAATATAATTGATAAATCAATTATTAAAAAGAAGGAATCGTAATCACTGGCCCTGTAGATGAAAGTGTTTATCAGAAAGTCCTATCATTTAGCGAAAATTATTTCTTTTTTCACTTTCTCGCGTACTGTTCTCAATGCTCGCAGAATGCGCTAATCATCTCTTGAGGTCTGGCAAGGTTGTGTCACATATACATATGTACATAGGATTTTATATTTACGACGAAGGGATCCTAGGGGGTACATAATTTCGAAGAATATTTTCTATTCAAATTGGGAATTTTTTTAAAGTTCAATAGCCTTATGGATCTATCTCGGTATATCCATCTGTCTTCGCGAACATGGATCTGTGGTTTTTCAAAGTGTATGAAGTGCCTTTTCTTTTTACCCACACCCGGATGTGTACATTACACATATGGATGTAAATATAAAATAGACCTAACCAAAAAACATTTAGATTACCTTTCAACAACTGAGTCTGGAAGGTTGAGATGCAAATGCGGGTGTAACATACATTTTTTGAACGTAATACTTATATACAGTGCAATTAAGTCACTTCAGTTTCTTCTAAAATTCTTATAAACTGTAATATGGAAGTAATGCATGTAAATAAATAACATATGAAATTTATGCAACTAAATATAATAATCAGTAGAAAAGAACACTTTAGTACATGTTTATCTGTTTATAAATACAAAATTAAGAAGGCAAGCAAAATTTTAATTAAAATTCCTTCTAAAAATATGTGTTATGCTACAAAACTCTAATATAAATAATAGACATTAAACTATGCCTATGTTAGTGAAGCTCTCAGATCTAGTTTATTAATAAGCTGGTGATATTATAGTCACATACTATACTATAGTATTTCGGTTATTAAATACATTGATAACCAAAATACATTGATATAAACAACTCGTTTGTTACACATTCAATCGTCTCCTAAACATGTTGATAACTTGAAGGAAGCTATATACATTATAGTCATCATTGAAAGCAAACATCCTATACATGTTATCAGCTGATTTATCACGTCGAACGACCTTCAAGAAAACATTTAAGTACTTTTTTTATTTACGTATAACAAAGATTTTATATATAATAAAAAAACCTTGATGTTTTAATACAATCGTAAAGAAAGCGATGTTTCATTTTAATAAGTTTTTGTTCCTAAAATTATATTTATTTTACCCTATCCTTAATTTTTCATATATATGTATAATAATTTTTGTAATTATGTCTTATACTTAGAAAAGAATATTATTATTTTCTATTCTTTACCAAAAGCTACAAACCCTCCAATTCATTAGACAGACATCAAGCAACCGATGTCATCATTACCAAAAACATATCCAAACTTAATTGTGACATATTTTCCTCTTTATTCTGCGACATTCTGTCTTTCTGATAAATCTATCTTACTTGAAATGAAATTAAAATACTTTCTCTTTATGTAACTATTCTTGTATGAATAAAAAAAGAGTTTTAAATGTCGGTGTTAGCGCCAGAAGCTGATAGGAAGAATACAAGCAATTTATCTACGTGTATAAAAAAAAATGTTGGTGTGGATACATTATGAAAAGATTTAGTTTATATTTTTCTTCCTTCCCGTATTCAGTTCAAGAACATAATTTCTTAAAAAAAACTATGTATCTGATCGTAATTTTATACACTTACAAATAAAACATAGATTAAAAGCAGAACGTTTATAACATCGAAATGATATTATTTTATTGAGTGGCATTTCATAACCACGTGCTTGGAATACACTTAGATGCTTTTAACGTTATGGGTATTTATAATCCGTGTTCACATACACATTTGTTATGCTTCCCGATGCTTCCCGTAATCTCTTGGTTCTGA